AGGTGTATTTGTTAGCAGCCTTTCTCCTTTCTCTTTCCTGCCACTGTTTGGCTACTTCTGAAGGGGGGAAAAAAAAGGAAAGAAAAAAAAAAGAAAAGGCAGATAGACATTCACTGTTTCTACCCCTTTCTTAACTCATTGTAGAAAGCCGTGCAAAAAGACCACTGATAACCTACTGTCTGCTAGGATACATATACTAAACCCCATTTTGGCTTGGCATACTTAGTTTTGGAGTGTATCACAATGGATTTACAACAATATATTTTAATTAATCAGCCTTCAGAGTTTCAGCTAGAATTAATACCACATAGCCACATTTGGAATTGTTTTTTTAAACAAGTGTGAAAAATACCATCTTTTTCCCCACTCATTCTTTGAAATTGGCAATAAAGCTGACTGAATTTTTGCCAAGGCGATTCGTTCTATCCAGACCTCTAATTGTATTTGAACAATTAAGGAGAGACGTGGTAGCAGTTCAACAAGTCAAGAGGATTTTGAAAATAAAATATTTCCAATATAATGGAAAGCATTAGCTACTACGTAAAATGATACAAATGGAAAGATAATGTTTGTTGAAGAAAAAAGAAAGTAAAACCTGACCTTTCTGCAATTATTCAAGGTTATTTGCTGGATAAAAAAATTACAGAGGCTGGAATGAAACAGGAAAGTGAATGCAGTCTCATAAAAATCCAGGCCTACATAACTAGTAAGTGATGTCTGCTACCCCATGACAACAGAGACCATAGCTTCAGCCCAGTAGATACAGAGACCACTCTGGTCTTTAAGTTCAGGTATTTCCCATTATGCCATTTTCCCCAGTTTCATTGCATAGTGCCCTGAGCTACACTTAATAAGGGTGGTCAAGGGGCATTGATAACAAGCTTTTGATTGGTTTAAGTCAACACAGCAGTGAATTCTGATTTAAAGTACATTTATGTTTATGTTTGATTTGCTATTTATTCTACTGACAAAACATTTATGTTGTGAAAACACCATGAGTTTTTACTCATCAATTTTTATCTCTATTAAGAGTTAATATGCATTCCCTTTTGCAAGAAATCAGAGAAGAGCTCTGTACAGACGAAGTTGTTCATCCTTTAGGGAAGAAAAGTAGTACTGAAAATCAGCAGGTGTTTAGATTTATAGATGAAGCACTATTTTCTCCTCTGCTATAATTTAAGTTTTTAAAGAATGAGACACAAATAAGGACCTCTTATTTTTCTTTCAAGCACTTCATAAACAGAAAATCAGTCTCTATATTGTACTCCAAACAAGCAATGCTAAAATAACAATTCACTTCCTTAACTTTATTGGTACAGCATCACAAATCAAGTGTAACATTGTTAAAATGACATGAGAAAACTTTTTTATATTTGTTTTTCCAGTGCTGTGAGTAGTGATTCTCCATATTATGCTCAAACTGTTCATTTTCACCAGAAGACTGTTGAAAGCAAATATAATCATTTTCTGAGTCATTTTTAAAATAACTGTGAGACTGATTTTCCATTGTCCTGAAGAGTGTATAGTCATTTAGATGGTGCAGAATGGTCCCAGTTCAGCAATTTACTTGAAGTACATGACTGACTAAGTGCATGAATAGTCCCATTGATTTCAAAGGGAGCACTTACATCCCTAACAAGAGGCACACTTGGGAAAGGCAGACTGAATCAGAGCGGGAGTAGGAGTCAGACTCTCTCCAGCCTGGATGCTAGCACTTCATACTGTGCTCCCATCTAAATGTTTCTGCAGAGTGCAGGACCATTTCCAACTGCTTCAAACCACCTGCCTAGACTGAGTTTAAGGGTGATCAGGCTGCTAGTTATAATAACTCGACCTACAACAGGCTGCCAGACAGCTGCAGTGTCTTTATTTAACAAATAAATGCTATTATTTTAACTGGTGTGGTTAAGTGACATGCTATCTTATCTCTATACAAAGTAATTGTGTGAAACCTCTCACTATACAACATGGTGCAAACCCAGTGAATCAGCTAAATAAAAGACTGAAAGAAAAATTGCAATAGTTTAAATGTAATTTGTAATGTAATAAGACAATTACTATTAAAATGTAGAAACTGATCTAAGATGGCAAATCAGATTCTATCTTTGGAACACTGTTTCCATGTTCACTGCAGGATTACTCTGTTTCTACAACTAAGGTCCCTGGCGATGCTACAGCTAAACACCATTGTGTACCTTAGCCCGACATATATTGGATTGTTTTGTGTTACAGATTGATATGCAATCAGTTGTGTTCACTGAATTTAGATGTTAGCAACTTTTAAAAGATACATAAAAGGCTAAGATAAAGAAGGGGTTGGTAGATAAAGTAGATAGATAGAAAAATATTCTAGTAACTGAATTTCTATCAAGCAATATTAATGTCTTTTTACAATTTGATTTGATTCATAGGTTGGTTACATTTCTTTTGGTTTCTTTTTATAGGTAAATAATTTCATTTTATATGAAGCAATACATAAATAGAAACAGTTATTAAGAAAAAAAAACACATTAGATTTCTAAGTTTTGAAATAATTTTCTTTTTCCCTGTGACCTTTACCCTTTATTCTTGTAAACAGGTCATGTTTTTGGATTCTGTGTGCACAAGTAATGTCTTAGAAACTGTTAGGTTTACCTCTCCAGATCATGAAATTTCACTAGCATACACAGCTCTAACAAAGAGATTTGACATTCTCAGATTTAATAGTATTGCTCTTCAGGTTCCCACTTACTTTTCATCACTTGTTCCACCATGCAAAGATATTTTGCATGTTTTGTTGCCTTTATGTCATGACCTCATCCGCACAGGACAGAGAAGAGAACCACAGGGTGGCTGTGGATGGTCTAGGGAAGGATCTCTGCCTCCATCTATTGGTGAACTGTGGAAGAGAGTGAGAAGGCCTCGTTTCCCTGTCTACTTCCCCATTTTCAGTAGGTGCTTTCTGTGCAGAAGTCCTCTGGGCCCATATCTACCTTTCTGCCTGCTCCTGTGTCAGAAAAATAAAATGAGCATGCAATGAGACCTCGTGAGTTAACTACTAGTAGTCTCCAGCTGCCACGTGCTAGACCTATGCCTTACCCCCAGGCAGGCAATATCAATCCTAAAGCATATCTCATGGCACAAACAGGTCGCCAGAGTTTTTGTTTGACACCAGGCAGTGTCCCTGGACCCAACAGCACAGCTAAAGGCAACAGTATACCAAATCGCCACACAAAGAAAACAGCACCACTTACCATATGCCTCTAAAACCAGTCTGCCAGGAGACAGGCACAAAACAATGCTCTACATAAACCTACTCCGAGATATTCCAATCAGAATAACAAAAGAAATGCAATATTCTTAAATTTGTAAGTGGGAGCACAAGTTTGTGCGTTGAATTCAAGAACTGCTAGGCATTTAAGCCTCACTGTTCTTGTTCAGTCCTTACAACAGCATGGTATTGGCACATGTGAGATCAAAAGCACTTTTTCCCTAGTAAAAGACAGTCATTCCATTCCATGTTACTTTTTCCATATTGACTATTTCCCCTCCATCTATTATTCTCTTAGCACTAACTTCTTAATGTTTCTCTATTAATTTTCTCAAGTATCTTCTGTTCTCCATGTCTCTTTTCCATATTCAGCTTCATTTAATCTATTTCAATTATTATTTTCCCATCTCCTTCAATCTTGTAACCCCTTGACCATCTCCTTCTTTCCTCCCCTAAACTCACTGGAGGTATCTTACTTTCTTTTTAGCGTTAGTTGTCTGCTATTTCAAGTGTTCCTTCCTCTCTTTTCACCTTTGAATCCCTCCCAATATACCTTCACTTGTTGTGCCACCATGTTTACTTCAAGAGGTCACGCACAAGAACAGTAGCAGTCTTTGTCTTGCCAGCAAAAGGACTCCCTCAAAAATCTTCCTGTGGTATATGAATCTGTATTCAAGTTACTACTACACACTAAATTAGGCAGAACGTTCCTACCATCTGTTCAGAGTAGCTGTAAAGAGCTGCGCAGACATCGGTTTCATTGCACAACAACAAATTTTATTGGTCTTAGTAACCCCAGAGACTATACTACATAGTGAGCACCATCTACTGGCATACAGTTATTTATCCGTATATGTAGATACCAAGCATTTCTTATTTCTGAACCTAACAAAATTAATATTTAAAGAATTATATATTTTTTAGCAGATCTGCCATTAGGTGTCTGTTCAGATCACTGTGTGGCAATAGCTACATTTTTTGGCCTGGAAGGGAAAATATAACTAAATGTTTAAAATACGTTCTTTTAAATTAATATAAACACACACAAATTTTGTATATAAATGCAGAAGCACACACATATACTAATTGTAATCTTGTCTTTAAATCATCTGCTCTTTACTTTTATCCTAGGAAAGCCTACGAAAAGGAAAAAACTTAATCCCACAGTAATAACTTCAGATAATACAGCATGAATATGTTTTGATATGCTGAAAGTCTCTTATCTACAAAAAGGCTCTGAAGGAGGAGAGATTTTGAACTATGAATTTAATTTTGACCAGTATTTGGTTCATATACATCACAGGAAGATGTAGCTGGACAGGAGTTTTCAAATGATGAATGATTTTCCAAGAAATGTGTTTTCCACAAGCCCAGGATTTTCCAAAGGAAGATTCAATTTTCTTCTAAGCCATTTACTTTCTGTGAGCAAAAAAACCCATAAAGAATGTATTGTCTTTCATTTTTTTTTGATCCAAATCATTATTTCATGCCATTCAATTAGCATGGTTTAACATCAAACTGATTTAACCAGTAATATTTCACTAAATTGTAGAAGTGGTAGAGTTTCTATTTGATTATGTGTGGGGTCTGTTTATACTCTGTTGCTATTGTTGTTGCACTCTGCAGGCAGTTTGTGTAAAAGGAACCGTTTTATTTCGGCAGTGGGAATATACAAGACTTTTAGCCAAATTTAACTAATGCAACAGGTACCAAAGGTCTTGTTTCTAGAAAAGATTGCACAGAATGAGGATTCACTTTCAGCTTCTTGCATAAGGACAGCTGTTAGGTCTATGTCCATACTACACTAGAAATGTGCCTGGGAACCTTCCCTAAGTACAATTAGCATGAAATAGCTAAGACCTATGATACTAAATTCTTTTAGTCTCCACCACAGAGATTGATGAGCATTGGGAATGGTCCTTGGGATGGTGTAAACCCCAAGATGTGCCAAGAAAATATTGGGCATTAGCTAATTTACATTTAGGGCACACAGGAGTAGTTTAATGGAATAGACAATCACATTCCAGTACTTTGCTGACAGAATAATCTGCTAGCCTAGACACAGCCTTCGAGGATTAAAGATAAATTTCAGATATAGACTGATCAAGATGTCCTTCCCAAAGCTGTATATTATGCAATGGGAAACCTGGAACTTCACATGAAGTACACCAATTGTCTCATTTGAGGCACTTAATAGGATATTTAGAGGGATGTTTTTCAGTGATAAAGAAAAATTACATCATTCTGCTTAACATCATTGAAATGTGTCTGCCAATCAAACTAATTCAGAGGAGTGATTCTGGACTGTATAAACATTTATCACAGAAGTAATACATTCATGGATATTTTCCTGATATTTGCCACCAGCTAAACTGTGAGTTTCAAGTTATTTCAGAATATTGTTGAACGTCAAGAGGTAATATAACATATCAAGAGAATTGTGTCAAAATTCTGGCAGTAAAGAGCTGGCTTAATTAAATACTTTTAAACATTTTTTAAATAGAAAGTAACACTGAAATATCTATAATCTGAAGTTTGATAAAAGAATCCTATGTATTTTAACAGAATATCTGATCCATAACAATAAAGTCCATAGCTTGGAAGTAAAATCCATGCTGCACTGTGGCACCATAACCATTGTCCTGTTTTCAACATTTGTTTCTGGATGAAGTGAGTATTTAAACAGCAAAGATTAAGTTTCACACTGAATGCCAGTTATCTTCTGAACTCCAAAAGGTTTCTGTGAGACAGTATATAAAAGGACATTTGGACGAGCCCTACAGGTTATGGTTACAGATGCAGTCTTACAGCTATTATTCCAATATAAATTTAGATAATGAGTTAAGCTTACTTCCTCTTCTGGCATACTATTCTCACTGACTTCTCCTCAACATAAAATATTCCTTTAAGCAAAATATTTTGTTGGTCTAAAAAGCTATTTAATTATACTGCATCATACAGGATAAATGAAACTGCATTATCAAAAAACTACCCAGCTTTCATGGTGGATTTCTATACAGTTGTACTACTTGTGCCAAATGTAATTAAGACCTTCCATTTTCAATTTCAAGTTTACAAAAGGAAAGCACAAATGGAGGTATTTATTTTATATTATACCATACCCTTCTCAATTAGCTAGTGAGAATAGGCCTTCCTCAGAATGATAGCTCTTCTGAAGTTTCCCTTTCCATGCTTTCATGCAGGATTCTGTGTGCGCTTTTAAATTGATTTGTGTATCCACCTCGAATCTCTGGAAAGGCACATTTTAAAACTGCAATAGAAAATACATAAATATTTAAACACATTAGATACTCTTGAACTTTTACCTTGAGCAGTTTTATTCAGTTTGCATAAAAATGTATTTCTTTAAAGGCTGAGAAGAAACTGGAACATGAAGATACACACTCTAAAACCAGGCATGATAATGTTTACTTTAAGGAGTATTTTAGCTAAATAAAAAGATCAGAAAGAATTAAGTGGAATATTAAGAGCAGGTGCCACAGTAAGTGCAATACCTACAAGAAACAGAAAGCAAGAAGAAATATCTTAAAGAAAGTTTAACCTCCTAAATTCGCTCAAAATGTTAGTGTAGCTTTGTAAGTCTTTTAATTTGAAAACTGCATGTCACTCTCTTCTTTCAAAGTATGAGTGAAAAAGCAGAGTTTCTGTAGACACAAAAAATTAAAATCAATGAGAATCCCTCCATCTGTACTCCAGGGGCAGTACTGCCTTAACTAAAAAGTCATCATGATCCTCAGGTGTCTTGATGAAGATAGAGATGCCTAAGCATCAAGAAGCTAAATTTGACTTGGAACACTACTGCTTGCTAAAATGATGCAAGCTACTCCTGTCACTTCTTTCCTCTTTAATCTACACATTGTTATACCCATTTAAACTGAAGTGTTTCTGGAGATTTCTGAGGATTATCACTTTATAAACAATGTATAGGGAGTTTCAGACAAGAACATAAAAAAGAAAAACTGTTACCTATAAGAAATGACTGCAAAATTTGGTATTACTTGAAAAAAATAACAGTATCTTAGGTAAAAAAAAAAAAAAAATCCTCATATAACTGCACAAAACAAATATATTCCTAACACAAAGCATACATTGTTAAAAAGGAGCACCTGACTACTTTTTTTAATATTGCCTTTATAACTTCAATCATTCCAAATGTCCCCAAATTGTTATTGCCAACAGAATTAGCAAAATATTCGTGCTTCCCTTTGAAGTTAGATATGACCATAACACATACTTTCCACTACCTCAAGTCTGATTACACAGATTTTGATTTTTATTTTCAATAAACTAAAGATGGCTGCTGATTTTCTTGTACACGTTAGAAGGCAACAGAAGACAGTAACATGTGAAAAGAATTTATTTCATTCCTGATGCATGCACACTCGAGATGTAGCTAGAAAAAAGTTAACACAGGAATCACAACAAACAGTTGCATTACACCAACTTGTTAATGCTATGTTAAGCTACTGTTAAGCTATGCCTAAATCAAAATCACAGTATCTGGTATGTCTACAAGGTGACAAAAATTGGTAGCTGTTTAGAAAAAAAATATTAATGACAGAAACATGGAAACTGCAGGTCAGGATGTAGTAAGAAGATGTACAGTGCATGAGTGCCCCTTAGCCTCTCAGGATAGTGACGACAGAAATTAACCTACCACTAGGAATTGTCTTGTGGCTGTAAACTGGCCATAGCATTTTATCAGTTGTATCTTGGTATTGCGCTGTTGGGAGTGCAGTGTGCTTAGGTAAAATCTTCCAAATTACAAAAATGTAAACCAGCTGGAGAAGAGCAATCTTCCTTTCCATTCTAAAGTGTTACTTAAAATACAATTACCTCAGCCTTGCAAATCAGCTAGAGGGCATCCCAGATTATTACATGGGAAATCAAGGTGTGTACTCCACAATAAAAGTAAGTACATTAGTCTAATGATCACCTTAAACCCAGATTTATCTTTTTTTATTTGGTTTAGTGACTAGCCTAATTTTGTATAACATGAAGTTCAAATTTATTTCTTTGATCTACAGGACTGTTATCTAATCACAGCAGCCAGATATTGAACAAGATTATTACCTTGTCTGGTCATTTTGTTTGCAGACACAGGACAGTTCCCCACAGCTTTTCTAAGATCCAAATCAAAGGGCTTTCATTATAGTCACAGAAATTATCTCTTAGCATTACAAATTTTCCCTAATACTCATCTTCTCTTTGTTTTCATCTCTCTACATTTTGTAACAAACTCTGTACCTAACAATTTTCTTTGCTTCAGGGTTTGAAAGCTACTTAGCATAACATGGCTGTTCTCAGCCAAATGTTGCTAATACTCTCTGTAACCAAATTTCTCTGCTATAGATATTCTGGCCTGAAATTTGTCATAGTTGGGAGCAGATTTTAAAGTCATTTAAGCCTTTAATTCTATTAGGAAACCAGGGAAGTTAGTGGCCTAATTAACTTTGATGACTTGTGCCTTAGATTTTAAGAGATGCAACTCTTTTTAAAGGGCAAACATTGCATTTGAAAGGTTTTTATGAAGCCTGTCACATTCCAGATTTTGAGCAAACACTCATATCCAACTGTCAGGTAACATTTTCTTAATGAAACCTTACATGTAAAGGTTAAGTGAGAAGAAAACCATTGCGATGTGTCAAAGTAAAGACGCAAGCTCCTCCCCCCTCCCCCCCAGTATGCATTTATCATTTGTGGTTTTACATGAGTTGGAATGGAAGACAGCTGAATTTACATTCTGGATATGTTTGAAGAACAGCTCCTCACCATAAGAAGTGTGGCTACTGTTTCATAGAATAAACATCAAGATGAACTGGCTTTGTTAACACATTAATGTCCAAGGCTTAAAAAAAAAAAAAAAACCAAGATGTTTTACAAGATTTGAAAGAGAATTAGAAAACAAGGCTCACTTGAGAGACGTAGAGGTACAGGGCTTCACCACTGGTGATGGGAACCAGAATTTAAAATTCCTGACAAATATTCAGGAAGTTCATAAGTAAATGGATAAAACCTGAAGAAATGAAAGCACGTGCAGTCCTTCCATGTACTAAGCAAGACAGAAGAGATTGAACAAATATTTATACGACTTATCTATGTTTTTGATGGAAACTAATTTGCTTACTGTAAACTAGATGATTGAATAGAGCAACCTAGGGAAATTTCCTTGAGAATCCTCATATGTAAAGTACATAGCACTAACAAGCAATTAATAATATGAACCATAAGAAATCAAATTTAGAAATGATAACATATTGTTCAAAGACAGCAAGTGCAACATCAGTATGAGGTAAAAAAAAAAAAAAAAAGCTCAAAGTGCAACAGTTTGGTTCAGAAAGCATTCCTGTTATGCCCTCCTTCCACCACTGGTAGAGAAGACCATCCCTCCCCAGTATTCCTCTCTACGTATCTGTTTAAGATGCCAGTTTCTTGACACCTGTAAGAATGTTTTAATCCTTCATATTCACCTTCTCAATGGCTTTCATATTTCAGTGTCTCTGGGAATAAGTACAGCAGCAGAGCTACATCAGAGCAGCAGGCAATAGGCAGGCAAAGCCTCCTCCCCTGCCTCCAGCTTTTTTTCTCATCACCTCCTTGATATGACTTCTAGTTGCAGGCATCATGCCTGGTGTATAACTGTGTCAAAGAGCCTGAGCTCCAGTTGCATTGCTTCCAACAAGCTTGTACTTCATGACGAACTACAAAGCTTGTCCACACTCATGTACACAGCTAGTACAAGGAATCTTGTTGATGACTTGGCTGCTAGGCTGTGGCATGTTTACTGATGACTGACTGGACCTCCCCCAAAGGACTGAAAGGCTTCTAAAACACAAAATCCCAAAATTTTATTTGAATAAAAAATTCTAAACTTTTAAATAGAAAATACTCTAAACCATATGCGGAAACAGAAGGGTCGACAAGCACTCCACACTGCAGTCTTGGAGGGGAGGCCTTTCTGCCAGACAACTGAGGGATCTGTTTTTTGAGTTGCAGCCATGTGAGATAGCTGATACCATCTCCAGTGCTGCTAGCTCTTGGTTCCCAGCCTGCAACAGTATCTCAAAATGCATGAGGTGCAGGCTTCTAACTGCAAACTGAAATTCTCCTCTAGTCTCACTCTCTAATCCTCTAAGTCTTTTCAATCTTGAGCAAGCTCAGTAACTCCCAAAGAGAAACAGCAACTTCCCACCACCTTACCAGACTCCCTTAAAGAAACAGGAGCTAACAAAAATCAGAGAGGTAATGGGACAGTAAGCCATGCTTAGCATGACCCCATGCGGTATACACCCCTGCATACCACCTATTTGCAATTTAACTACTCAGTTTGAACAGTAGCTATTCTTGGTAGATCTGCACAGTTTTTTAGTACTGCATTTCCTTCTTATCATGTGTCAAAATGGGATGGGCTATCTAATGCAAATTCAATTTTTTTCTCCATTATTTCTGCTTCCAGTGTCTAGTGCATCACATTAAGTGGCATTCTTTTCCTGCACTACAGCACTGCCAAACATTTTGGCATCCACATCTGCTGTAATTCCGTTCCAGAGACTAAAAGCCTATTCTGAGACACAAATAGTAACTTTTGATCTCTCAGGACAAATTCTCCAGTCTTTTACCCCAACTGGGATACCTTCTTGTTTATGAGTTCCCAAGTGGCTGGCAACAGATACCTTCACAGGCATCTTGCCCAGACAACAGAGCCTGCATAAATGTCTCTGTCCTGCTCAGACTACATGCAGAAGTATCGAGTAGCAAACACCACCTTGCAGACAGCTCAGCTTTAGCTCAGTGACAGAGCACTTGTTTAGGCAGGTGTTAAGTCTCAGGTGCAAGGGAAAGGTGGTGAGTACTAGTTCATGCTAGGTGAGAGACCCAGACCACACTACTGTGCTCACAGCCCCCACAGGGCAGATCAGCTGCTCAGCGTTATTGGATTAGAGCAGCATTGACACCACTGGCACTGGTCCCAGATGGGAGAACCATCTTCCAGCACAAGGTTCCTCCTTCTGCTGGTTCTTACAGGAAGATGGTCTCAGTGGTGGAAATGAGCATTAAGAGGCTGATTTCTCCTAGCAGTGGAACTGGAGAGAGGCATTGTCAGGCCCTGGCCTCAGCTGGCAGTGCTGCTAGCATTCATTAGTTGAAAAACAGTTGCTCCAGCACTGCTCTTCTGTTGTCACGCAGCAAGCTGTAGTCTCAGCTACAGCTACACCACTAGCAATCCCCTCCCAGGACTTGAACAGTGTAGCACTAAACTGCAGCCCTAACTAGAGCTCGCTTGGCAGCTGAGAGAATGCTGGCAATACCTTCTACTCTGCCTTCGGCAGCATTTTGTCCACTCTGCAAATCAGAAAAAGCAGACACGCTTTGAGCCCTATCCTTGGTGTAGGCAAGCTCAGTCTGAGGTAAGTGGCTTCACAAAGGCTGGATGCCCCCTGATTCCAGAGGGACCTACCTCTGTATCACTGGGCAAAGCAATAAGCCAGTCACCCAGATCTAACCAAGTTATATCTTTTTCTTCTCTTCACCCTGAAACTATGTTTCTATGTCACTGTATGCACAAGGCATAGTCACCATTTCTAGTGGTGATTAAAGCTTTTTGTAAGGCCCCAGCATCACTCACCGTTATAAATCCTATTATCTTTCAGTCAGAGATAAGCATCTGTGCACTCATTGCCCCTTTTGAAAGCATGCAGTTCTATGGTTCTCAAAAGTAACCCACAATACAAGCTTAAATTACAGCAATTCATCTAAAAGCAGTCGGTTTGAATTTGATGGAGGAACTTGCTTTCCAAACCACATGACTACTCACTAAAAGAACTGGCTGAAAGAAGCTAAACTTGTTTATTGCTGCCTTACACACTGCAGAAAAATGTAATTCTGTAACCAAACTGGTAGGAAGGTTTCTTGATTCCTCTGTGACATTCTGCTCTGGAGGTAAAAGGGAACTACGTACCACATCATTGCCTACTAGCTCTGAAAGATTAATAATGTCAAAGTTTACATCATTGCCCTGAATCACTGCAATAACTCATTTTTCTTTCGCAGAAGTTTTGACAATACCTTACTCCTCACTTCCCTGCAGCATTTATTTTTCATTTTATCAACAAAAAGAAAGAAAAAAATAATTGCAAACTACTGTTTCCAGCAAATCCTACTAAACAAGAATCAGAATTACAAATTAAGTCCCAAATTGTATGAAAATTTACTAGATTTTCCTATTTCTCCATGAGCAGAAGAAAGTGAAATACATGTATGGCTGCATTAGGAAAAAGTGATCTTACTGGCATTTAAGAAATTTCTATTTGGAGAATAATGCACAAAACTAATAATATAGTGAAACACTTGTAGCAAATTCCAAATCTGTAGCAGATTACTCCATACACTTTCCTCTATTCTTTTCTTCTTGAAAACTTTTTCATTCTCCCCACCCATCTTATAAGCTCTATTTAATTGATTGTGTAGGCAGTCAGATGTCAGAGAGGTGCAGGACAACTCCTTCTAGAAGAGGTGTACATAACCAGCAAAAGTGAGATTGCTGCTTTAAATGAAATAATCTTGTAGATGCACAGTTATTGCCTCTGGCAAACAAAGAGCACAAGCAAAGAAAAAGTATTACATGATGCCAAGAAATTAATCAGGATTTTTCTAAGAAGTATAACAACATTTTAGGTCGGCTCATGATCCAAGGAAATTCAATGTAAGCCTCCTATTAACTTCAACAGGATAAGAAAAAATTCCTTATTTAACAAAATCATATTCAGCTCTAATACTTGAAATAAACAATCACACAGTTGCTTTCAGCTAAATTAGCTACCAGTAGAATACTGTTAATATTCATCATGAACTGCATAACTGAATAAACCAAGTGCATTTGTGTATTAAAACCTGAAGCTTACGTAATATTAGGAATAGGAATACGTAATATTAGCATAGGAAGAACTGTAATATGAGCTTTTGGAGTCTTTAAAAAAGATTTGTGTCCATGAGGCGCACATTTGGGGAAGTCTAATATATTTTGAATCATTCTCCATCTGTATTAAAGTGTGGTGTCCAAGTGGCAATTTCATTGGCTCCTGATTGACTCTTTACAGATCCATCCATTTGGCTTAAACTACATGTTAAACTTTCCACAAGGTATCAAGCACTACATGTGTATTTTGAGAAAATAAGATATACTCTCTGATGATGAATTTTCATGTGTCCAAGGACTCTGAAAGACATAATTTGGTCCACTGTTTATTCCTGGTACAGCTGGTTAATATGCGATCACAATAATTTTACAACAATATTCTGGAATTTCTAATCAGATTTCCTTTTGATGTAGTATATAAAAATATGTAAGGTTGTTTTTTTTTCCCACCCTTCTTCCAATATTCATAAATAGTCTATAATTCTGAGGGAAATAGATGAATACTTGATTTTGATTTTTCTTTTTTCTCTCATTCTCCTGGGATTATTATTTTTTCCCCTTCTTAAAAATTCCAAGGAGTCTCAAACTCTGCCAGTAGTCTTTAGCTAGTATTTAGTTTTTGAATATTCACAAGCTAATATTGTAGGTTTGGGTTTTTTGTTTTCAGTTTAACTTGTTTCAAACTTGAAAAAATATGCATTTATTATTTTTTACTTTGCTATCCTGTATTGTAGCAAAAAAAAATAAAAATACAGCAGAATGATAGATGCAATGATGTTGCAGCTATATGTCCCTAGGTCTGGCCAGCAGTGAGGCTGAGAGCAAATACATGTAAAGGTACTCATCACATGCTATACATATGTGGATACGCATACATAGACAGCTGGGCACACAGATAACAGGAAGCAAATGTTGCCTTACCAAGCCCAAAGGAAAAAAAAGTAGCGCTCCATCACATGTGAGCAGCACAGATGGATCCATCCCGCTACTCCTCTCCCATCTGTTAAGTACTAAAGTCAGCTAGACAAAAATTAGCAGATCATATGGGTCACTCCAGTAGCTGGCCTTACACACTCAAGTCTGTCCAGTAGCTTGCCCCAGATACCTTGAAGCATTTCAAGTGGCTGGCAGTTGAGCATACAAGCACCTAAGGTTTGCAGCCCCACTGCAATAGGTTGTGCTCCGTCTTCTTGTTACACACACACACACACACACACACACCAACAATTATCTCCAGTAGATTTTCCAGACCTATGATCTTGCACACAACTGACCTTCAGGTCCCCTAGTCTCTCTGGGAGCTGATTTGGATTTATGATCAAGCACTTAACCCTCTTTCCTGGGTTCAGCAGTAGCAGTCATGTTTCTCC